TAGTAGTCGTTCATTATAGTTAACCATAGAATGATGGGCTAGCCTAGGAGGGGTAAACATTCTACCAGCGTGCAGAGAGGAAGATTTCACTTTTTGTCAGGGAAACAGTTTTTCTCCAATAATATTATTCAGCATTTTTACACTATTTGTATTTGGCTTTATCTCTTCCCATATGGTTGGTACATTTCATTTCCTATTCATTATCACTGACATCACCACTGCAGGGATTAAAATTTCTGTGGAATTTTGAATTGAGGTTGCAATACACAATCATTTCTGCAGCAAATACTTGTGATATTCAAGGGGGATTTTATGTACACTGTATCATCTATCACCAGTGATTTCATGTGATTTTTATAGATAACCAAAGACTTTTAGCCAGTCCCCATAGAGCTGGCCCCCTTTAAATAGCAACTCCTGAAGCGGGGACTATAATGTGTGCCATATGAAGATCTTCGACTGGGTCCTGCTGAGCTATGTTAGATTGTCACTAGCCAGAACATAGTAACACTTTCAAAGAGCTGGTGGAATCAAGAAAGTATCCAATTGTGTTAACCGGTTCAGTATTTCAGACAGACAATTTGACCACTTCAGTGGTCAAAGTTTCTGGGCAGATTTCAATCAGCTCTTTCTCTCTGAGATTGGCAATCCACCATACACAGTAGGGAGACACAAGCAAAACTTAGAAATCCCCCTTTACCAGCTTTCACTAAGCAAAATAATAAAGTCCAATTTCACTGTGTTCATGAATATGTTTAAGTTGGGCTTTTCTCAATATTCCCTCGATTTTTTTTATTTTGTTTACTGTACTGGTTAATTTCTAATGCTGATTGTTCATTTAATATTAGCTAAATTTCCATTTTGAATAAAATGTTATTTTCTTCTAATACAATTGACACAAATGGCACAGTAACTCATTTTAATTCTGAATATGTTATTGAAATGTTATTTTTTTGTTAACATTTTAGCCATTTACTGTTTATGGTTAACATTTTCAAACAATAAGATGTTTCCCTTATGACAACTAAACTGAAGTGATATTTCTGACAGATGTTTGTTATCTTTAATGATGGCTGTTAGATGAAAAAGCATGAATTTCTTACCTTTCTATGAACTGTTGAGTGCCATATATACTTAGTGTTGAGATCTTCCTTTCACGTGTGTAGATTGTGAGGGAATATGTGAAAGCCTGAAACTGCTGCTTGCAAGTGACATGAGAGTGATCTTGACAGGGGCACATCAAGGTTGGTTATCTCCTCTTTGTTATTTGAAATCTGGGTACTTCAGATCACAGATCAGTGAGACTGGAATATCTGTATCTTTCTGTTGCAATATTAGTACAGATATTTGCATACCGGGGACATTGAATGAGTGTCCCTCATATTTGAGTTCCGTGGTGGTTGTGTATGAAACAATAATTACATATCCCAGGGATCACAGTAACAATCAGGAGATATATTTCCCTTGAGTGGAGCAGATGGATCTGGTGTGATCAGACTGGTTTGTTTTTAGTACCTCAGTACTCACTGCTGAATTTGTCCTTTGTACCAGAATTGATGACATGACTTGTTGCGAAGCAACAGAAATAAGTTTGCATTGAGGTTTCATTCAGTTTTCATATTTATGGTTCTGTAGTGTTCATAGAGTACATTCCACATGCAATCCGCGGTTTTAGAATTACTGGTATTAAAAAATTTATGAAGTGAATTGAGTTGTCAGTTGTTTTTAAAAATGTTTATAATGAAGGAAATCATTGGCAGAAACTACAAGAAACGATCCGGCACGAACGCACACACTTACACAAGTCGCTATACATGCAATAATCATGATGTTAAACCCCATTTCACCTAGGGTGTGTTTCAAAGCGCCAATCGCTTGTAATCGATGTACAGCGATTCGCCTTACAACAGTGCGCTAACTTTCAGCCGCTTGCAAGCGAAACAATCGCTGACTGAGGTCGCTTCGTTCTCAAACCAAAATGGCGGCTTACTTTGACAGTGGAACAAGGAATTCTTGACTTGATCAACGAGAAAATGAGCAAAGGTAGCTAACGCCCCATCATCCTCAGTCTGCTCCACATCTTCAAAGTAGTCATAAATTTCATCTCTCTTCTATTACCTTCTTCATTATGCGGATGGTCATGCTCGCTGACATGGTTGATGCATGTCATCGTATCCCAATTACGTGGATAGATGCTCATGATGTCAATCCTTGGATTGTCTGGTCAAAACTCGATTATTTACAAACCGCCATCATATAGCTGGAAGATTGCTGAGTGCGGCGTTAAACAACAAACGTCAAGGCAACCTAGCGGTAGTTGTGCTGCCATTTTGGAAGAGTGTGCCAGCGCTTCGAACTGTTGCCAGACCCCGGGTTGAGCTATGAATTTGCTTTATCTAAGCGATTCGTGGTTTGCAACGCACCCCTAATTTCACCATTAAATCAAGTGCAGACTCAAGAAACAGCAGTAATATGACAGTTAAATATTTGTTCCTAAAAACATTTGTTTGGAATTTGTGTGTTGAGGTGGAGTTGTACAGAAGACCATTATTTCACTGCAGTATGATGTCCATTTGGTAACTGGAGTAGTATAGGGAATGGCGGTAGGGCCGCAACACCACTGTGCCAGATTCATACCCCAATAATGCTACTCAGAGGTAATTTTTTATGCAAATCCCACAAAGCGATCCAATAATCGACATGAGACTAAGCTAAATTGTAATGAAAAGGGTTCCTGGCTCACAACCAACTGAGCCATTCCCAGACCCTATCAATGCTTCTATGCTGCTAATGATACCAATTTTTGTATAGGGAATGGTGATACGACCGCAGCTCCCTTGGACCAGACCCAGGCGCTAACAATGCTACTACAGGGGTCATTTTTTATGCAAAACCCGCGATGCGATCCAACGATCGTCATGATTGTATTGAAAGAAAGATCGATATTAATTAATAATGGATAAGATTTACAGTAGCCGGTGAGGATATTGGAAAGGTCTAGGGGCAATACAAAAACTTACCACAGCGGCTAAGGTATCTAAAGATGTTGTCAAGGATTGGTTAAAGAAACAATCAATAAGGCAAATATACTTACCAGCCCCGCGTTATATACCGAGGAAAAAGTTTGATATTTTTACAACGAATGAAGTTCATCAGGCTGACCTCTTGTTTCTTCCTCATGATAAGGTAAGACGGAAAACATAAATATGATTTAGAAATAGTGGACGTAGCTAGTCGGCACAAAAAAGCTGAACCATTAACCTCAAAAGATTCAACAGAGGTAGCTATTGCACTCCGCATTATAAACGCGGACCATTAAAATAGCCTACGTTATTTCATGTAGATCCTGGACGCCAGTTTATGGGATCAGTAACTAAACTGTTAACAAAGCACAATGTTGCAATAAGGCATGGCGAAAAAGAGGCCCACCGTAGCCAAGCTATTGTTGAAATATTTAACCGGACATTATCAGAACGTTTGTTTGGATATCAGTATGGGATTGAAATGAAATCAGATTGATTAAGATCACGGAATGGGTGACACGATTATCAGCTGTTGTATCAGCGCTGTGCAATGGGCTATCTTTTGGGTATCGCTGGTATCGTACATATATATTTTTTCTGCCATATCTTTTACACATCCTCGGTTTGTATTTCCATTAACAAAGAGTCAGTATTGGTATATAACACCTCACATCTATTGATTCCTAAGTTCATTGTAATAAAAGTCATACATTCAGTATTTTGACAAGTCAAGAATACTCATGCCAACGTACACTGGTCTGTTGAATTTTATATATCTCTTCCGCAGAAATCGTTATCAAATAACTAACTTCTGTTAAATGCCGGACTAGCTATAAGTTTCCTAAGCCTTTCTTCCTCATAAGATCTGACCAGTTTTCAACATCAACATGCTTCCATGATAATCTCCTAAATTCTCACAGCCTCATTTATCCCACACCGTCAGAGCGTGTTCATAATCAGCATCGGTTATTTGAGGTTCTGTTAAGTTACTATAGAATGATTCAACAGGTGGTAATTTAGTTTGGTCAAATCTAGACCAATCATCCACATATTCGTAAGAATATACACCTTTTCTGAGCAACAAACGCCTTGTTAACCGATCGGTATATTGATTTGTTATTGCAAAGTCATCGGGATTTTTCGCATTAGCTGAATTGTCCAGGGAAGATAACAGAAGCTTTTTGGAGTCTATGAATCTAAGTCCATTACTTTGTTTTGTTCTCGCTTTCCCATCCCTGTTCGTATAATGTATAGTTTTAGTCAACGAGAATGATATATATCTTTTCATATTATGAGGAATTCACGTTGAACTGCCATCAGTCTTTGAGATAGCTTGCATGATGATATGAGAATCATATCCTCCAAGGTTATGAAACGGGGATTGGTATTGTTTGAGAATTCATTCTAAGTTTCAAGTTACACTCGTTATGCGCGTCTCCCCTGTCATTACCCGTGACGTGACAATGATCTCTTACAGAATCCCCATGCAGGGGTTTATTTCAAACATGACAACTCGTTGACTTCTTATAGGCCCTCCAATCATCCCTCGTCATACACATGGATTTCTTACGCCACAAATGTTCACTGATTATACTTGTTTATTTTGTAGGTATTCTAGGAACTTTTCCGCTGCATCGGGAGCTCTGTAAATCTCAGGTGCATTTGTTTTCCCATCATACCTAACAACTATACGAGGGGCGATTGATAAGTTGTGAGCCTACCTCTGAAGGAGTGTGGTACGGATGAATTCCTTTGTGGTGGTGATAGACTGATCAAGTACAGTGACATACACAGGAGGATTGTTGTATTGGACACATTATTTAGTTTAGTATAACCTATTGACTGCAAGTGTGTGTGTTTGGGGGGGGGGGGGGGGGGGGGGGTATGAGATGACTGAAAATGGAGAAACAGGAAAAGCGAGCTGTTATCAAATACCTTTACAAGAAAGGCTAAACACCCAATGTCATACATGAGGATATGTTATCCACACTAGAGGAAGATGCCCCGTCATATGCAACAGTGAAAAGATGGGTGGCAGAGTTTAAACGTGGGCGATCGAGCACTGATGATGAACCCCGTCCTGGTCCACCTGTTGTGTCTTCAACACCTGAAATGGTACAGCGAATCCTGGAAATAGTCATGGACGACCGACGAGTGACACAGCGACAGATAGCCAACTTAGTGGACATCTCTCAGGAGCGAGTGCATTTCATTCTGACAGATATTCTAGGAATACACAAGGTTTCTGCTCGATGGCTCCCCAAACTGTTGACAGCTGATCAGAAACGTCAAAGAGAGAATCTCTCAAGGGAGAACCTCAAGCTTTTTGAAGGTGATCCAGATAACTTTCTCAAACGATTTGTTACAATGGACGAAACATGGGTCCTCCACTTTGAACCTGAATCAAAACAACAGTCTAAACAGTGGAAACATGTCACATCTCCTACTCCAAAGAAAGCAAAGTCTGTGCCTTCAGCTGGGAAAGTCATGGCATCCGTGTTTTAGGATTCTGAAGGTGTGATTATGGTGGACAGGCTTCCTAAAGGCCGTACTCTTACAGGGGCTTACCATGTGGAACTTCTGAGACAGTTAAGAGAGAAAATCAAAGTTAGGCGACGTTGAAAGTTGACGAAAGGTGTGCTTTATCATCACGACAATGCTCCAGCACACACATCACTGATAGCAATGGCCAAAATCCATGAGTGTGGCTTTGAACTTCTCCAACATCCACCTTATTCACCTGATTTGGCTCCGTCGGACTATCATCTGTTCCCACAGTTGAAAAGGCATTTAGCTGGAACTCATTCCCAGTCAGATGATGACGTCATTACAGCGGTCAACAACTTTTCAGTGACCAAGAAGTTGACTTCTACAAAAGTGGCATAATGGCATTGCAACATCGCTGGCAGAAGTGTGTTGACCTTAAAGGGGACTATGTCGAAAAATAAAAAGCTTTAGTATCAAACCGACTTTGTTTTCTTTGTTAGGCTTAGAACTTATCAATCGCCCCTCGTATATCCAAACCCAATCAAGGAGTATGTTCTTGAGTTTTGTGTGTAAAACTACATTCAGTACTGTGTTCGGTATTTGCTATCGGTTTGATAAGTGCTTTGAAGTCAGCGTAAATTATGTATGGAACTGGCATTTGGCTACAATAATGCTTAAATTTTAATATATTTTTAACCTCTTTAGGCATATCGAGAGCAGTCTGTCCAACACCTCTGCAGTCTTCTTTATGCGCTTCTAAAACATCTTGTCTGCTGTACCCATGCCGACATCTTTCGCAGAAATATTTCTTTCCCTCACGTTTTGTTTGATTGTATACCTGCTTAAACTCTGTATCCACGTATAATGATATTTTCCATCTTTTTCGATCAGAAATGAATTGATTCTGGAAATATGTTCGGGGGCGGAGCTTATCCTGTGTACAATAATTCCTGCAGCAGAATGTCCGAAAATATCTATAGCTAAATTATTTTGCTTTTCTGCCTTACCAATTTGTGAGATTGCCATACGCGCATCCATACCATCAAAGTTTAGGCCATCGTTGTGGGGACAGCTCGAAGGTCTATTTGCAATTTTAGAATCTGCGGGAAACAAGGCAGATCTTATCATCATTCTGAAACAGTCAAGTGTTTCAATTAGGAGATTAACCTACCGTGTTTTAAATTTAGCGCGCGGTTCCAAATTAAAATAAAGAGGTATCTACTCTACAGTGGGACTATATCAAGTGTTCTGCACTGTTTGGACTGGCGATGTCTTTTCTTGGAATTATTCGAGGGAGGTCATGTCTTGAAATCGAACATGCCATTTCTATCGAAGGGGTGACAGCTAGGTTGAACAAAAAGGTCTTATAGTGCTAAACTAATATATTTCTTCAACAACAACAAACTTCTTGAATTAACATTCTATTATACATTTAATAATTGTATAGTTAGTTTGCAATAACCCCCAGTAAACAATAATAACATCAAAATAAATGTCTCTCCACCCCGAACTTGGGTGTGGCAGAACTTGACCTACATCATGGTTACTCTCACCTCGCAGCTGTCAATGGCTGACAATCTTTTGTTTACATTCTCCGTAACTAGTTAAATGAAGCAAGATGACAACCCCGATCTATGATGTGGTTCAATATTAACCTGTAGATTTACTGGAAACGATCGAGCCTGCTGGTACAATATGATTACCAATGAAACGGAGTATGACTGAACAGCCGCTTTTCAGCCTGCAGACGAGCCGGACATTTTGTCACGAGGTAGGGCCTATCTTCATGGCGTGACGTGTCAGTTTCGAGATTTCATGGATTCCAAACCAGAGTGGGAATGAAATGAGACATTCGTGGCCCATAAATAGTGGGTCGTGTATGATTTTCTTAATTGTGTATGTTTTGAAATGAATTTCATCAAGTTCGACTTCAATGATGTCGGGACATTGTTTTTGTGGCTTTTCGAATGCACGAGTGTTTTTTGAATGGATCAGGTGGTGTTGTTTGGAGACTTGGTTGAATGCCTGTCTAACAAGACGGCTATAAGAATCGGATGGTGTTGTTTGATGACTTGGTTGAGTGCCTGTCTAACAAGGTTACTATATGGGTCGGATGGTGTTGTTTGGTGACTTGGTTGATTGCCTGTCTAACAAGGTGACTATAAGGATCAGGTGGTGCTGTTTGGTGACTTGGTTGATTGCCTGTCTAACAAGGTTACTATATGGATCGGATGGTGTTGTTTGGTGACTTGGTTTGTTGCATGTCCAACAAGGTGGCGATATTGATCAGGTGGTCATGTTTGGTGACATGGTTGGTTGCCTGTCTAACATGGTGACTATATGAATCGGATGGTGTTGTTTGGTGACTTGGTTGATTGCCTGTCTAACAAGGTGGCGATATTGATCAGGTGGTCATGTTTGGTGACATGGTTGGTTGCCTGTCTAACATGGTGACTATATGAATCGGATGGTGTTGTTTGGTGACATGGTTGATTGCATGTCTAACAAGGTGAATATATTGATCGGATGATGTTGTTTGGTGACTTGGTTGATTGCCTGTCTAACAAGGTGGCGATATTGATCAGGTGGTGTTGTTTGGTGACATGGTTGATTGCCTGTCTAACAAGGCGACTATAAGAATCGGATGGTGTAGTTTGGTGACTTGGTTGATTGCCTGTCTAACAAGGCGACTATAAGGATCGGATGGTGTTGTTTGGTGACATGGTTGATTGCCTGTCTAACAAGGCGAATATATGGATCGGATGGTGTTGTTTGGTGACTTGGTTGATTGCCTGTCTAACAAGGCGACAACAAGGATCGGATGGTGTTGTTCGGTGACTTGGTTGATTGCCTGTCTAACAAGGTGACAATAAGGATCGGATGGTGTTGTTTGGTGACTTGGTTGATTGCCTGTCTAACACAGCGACTATAAGGATTGGATGGTGTTATTTGGTGACATGGTTGATTGCATGTCTTACAAGGTGACTATAAGGATCGGATGGTGTTGTTTGGTGACATAGTTTATTGCATGTCTAACATGGTGACTGTGTGGTTAGGTTGGTTGGTTTAGTCCAGCTATATGACGGCGGTCTGTAAATAATCGAGTCTGGACCAGACAATCCAGTGATTAATATCATGAGCATCGATCTACGCAATTGGGATCGATGACATGTATCAACCAAGTCAGCGAGCCTGACCACCCGATCCCGTTAGTCGCCTTTTACGACAACCATAGTCGCCTTTTACGGCAAGTATGGGATGCTGAAGACCTATTCTACCCCGGATCTTCACGGGGACTGTATGGATCGGATGGTGTTGTTTGGTGACTTGGTTGATTGCCTGTCAGACTAGGCGACTATGAGTATCAGGTGGTCTTGGTGATCGCACCCCACCGGAGTTGGATTATTTGACTGGATTCTCTACATTTAGAAACATTATTATACGGAAGGAATAGATTGACTAGAAAGTAATGGTCGTCCTAAATAAACACTTTTGGAATATCAATTATTCGGCTGAGGCAGTGACCGAAATAACACTGCTACCAAACGGCTCACCAAACTGGATTTGCTTTTCCACGCTTTCTTTTGAAAAAGAGTGTGCATGTTTTTAGCGTCACAGCAGTGTTCTAGCTAAAGTACGTGGATTATGGACAGGACAAACTAGTAAAGGCATGCGGGGCGAACAACGCCACAGATGTAGGATAACAGCAACAGCCAAGTCACTGCTTAGCTACCCGATCTCTCCCGGCTATTGTGACAATCATGGGGTACTAGGTACCCCTTAAATATGCACAAAATTGTGGTTTGTTTTGACGCTGTTTTAAACATTATCCTGGAAATCGCTGCGTGGCAGCCGGATGTGGGAGTAAAGCCCACGTTTACTCCTTAGATGAAAGAACGACCACGGGCGGGAGTCTCCGACGTGATATTCCTGGATTAATCTTCAGGGTGCGACAACTACGGCAGCGATTTCAGCCATCAATCAACCACCTACTGCATCTCCGGCAACAATAACTCAGTGTACAGCGACAACACCTTCACCGAATGCAGACAGTACTGCTTGACCGCCTCCTCATTCACCTGCAGGACGTTCGAAGTCTGGGACGGCAGATGTTTCCTTTCATCAGCTGTTAAAACCGAAGTTTCGGACTCGAAATGGGCCGCGTGGACCGGGTGCAAATATTAACAGCCTCAGTGTGCTTAGTGTGCCCAAGGTCGAGGTCACACACCGCTACACTACCTATTCTATTTGTTTCATACTTTGTAAAGTCCAAATGGAAACACAGTGGTTCAGACGCTCTGCAACCCTCTTTGGTTAGTGTCCCTTTCGATGCCAGGATCCGCGGGTCGCGTCACTCTGTATTACATCCTTGCTGCACATACTTGAATTATTATTTCATTTTACAATATGTGTTCATCATCGATTGTTCCCGATTCGCCATGATAGTTTGCCTTTTTTGTTTGTCAGAACCACAACCAATATGGTATAAAAAAATTAAATAAGGATCGCATAACACAATGTTTATTCCTGATATATAATATTTACGATTCGGCTTTTAGTCTATATTATCAACTGGTTGATTCCTTCTAACATATGAACGTATCTTCACAACTAGGGGTCACGGGTGGTCGTCTAAGGCGCCGCGATTCGCTGTGCAGAGTTGCGCCCCTTGGGCACGCCAGAAACCTATGATTGTGTTGGAATCCCGGTTCGACCCGATTCTGTTTCTAGGTTTGTCAGCCTCCCTGGCGGGATGATGAACTGGAATTAATTAAACATGACAAATACAAAGCCCTGAGAGCTCACATAGATCTTTGGGAAGACCTTTCACTTTTAGTCACTTGAGACCAATGTTTATAAATGCTTTTAGTAAAAAGAAAAACTCATTTCTTGAAGCACAGAGGGAAAAACTGATAGCTACAAGAGACAACCCAACTGCTCAAAGATAGTAAACCATTTAATGCAGTCACTTCATATATTAATACTGAACAATGGACTAACCATTTTACGTCTCTTCT